ATTCAGTGACACTCTGTCAAACAGTAAAAATAAAATAAAAATAAGATAAATAACTTCTGTAAAATTTCAACCTCCTTATACTGATCAAGGTCTTGATTATTGTTTATTAATTCCTACTACATGGTTATATTTTTTAAGATTGAGTTCTTTTTCCTGATTTAACTAGGCATTCAACGAAGTTGGAAGTGAGATAAGTGACTACATAAAGATTCTCTGTCTAAAATCCAACTTCTGTGATTTATTAGGGAGTTATTAGAAGAAAGCAAGAAAGGAGTTAGCCCTTGGTAAATTTAATGAAAGATCATATACAATCTAACATTAAGGGGAGGTGGCCTTGGATATGCACTGGCCGAGCCTGCCAAAGATAACCAACCAGTTGGTCCATAAGGATATCAAGAATTGACTACATATTGTTACATGTCTCACTGCAGTAACAAAAACAATAATACGTAAAAACCAAATTTGTATCTAGAACTCCATCATAGAATTTTTTTTTTTTTGGTACCGGGGATCGAACTTGGGTCCTTGAGCTTGCGCAGCAGGCAGTGGAACCACTGAGCTAAATCCCCACCCCTCCATCATAGAATTTAAAAAACATTTTTTTAATTAAAAAAAAATTTTTTTTTACAATACTGGAAATTGAACCCAAGGCCTTCACACTGAGCTACATCCCTAACCCTTCTTCCTTTTTTTGTTTTTTTGGGGGGAGTACCAGGGATCAAACTCGGGACCTTGCGCTTGTGAGGCAGGCGCCAGAACCACTGAACTAAATCCCTGGCAGCATTACACTTTTTAATAAATCAGAAAGTTGACTAGAGTGGGTAAAATATAGGAAGCAATCATTATCTCCAGTGTTTCTCCAAACAAAACCACCAGCCAAGCTGGGCAGGGTGGGCCATGTCTATAATCCCAGCACTTGGGAGGCCGGAAGGGAGGACTGTTGGAGCCTAGGAGTTGGAGGCCAGGCTGGACAACCTAGCGAGACCTTGTCCCAAAACAACAACAACACAACCTTCCTTGGGACAAACTGCATTTTCTTTTACGGCTCTTTTCTAATTACAGAATAAAAATTTAACACTGGAAAATAAATTCAGCCTTGAAGAGTTACCTACTCTGGCTGGGGAGGTAGCTCAGTGGCGCCACACCTGTCTGGCAAGTGCAAGGCCCTGAGTTCAATTCCCAGTATGGGGGTGGGGAGAGTAGCAGGCAACAACACTGGGAACTGACAGTGCCCATTTCTGGCATGAGCCTCAACTGCTGTTGGCCACATGCTTTAACAAGTCTACTAATGACAAACAGAAACCACACTTCAGGTTTTTGATATAACCATTTAAGAACTTAGAAATACTCATGATTTGAAGTTTTTCAAAAAGCCACATTGAGGTAATGTTTCAGAAACAAAAATTTACATTCAAATTCTGGACCACAGAAATTAGAACAAGATGTATCCTTGGATGTCATTTAGTTACTCATTTACACAGGAGGCCCGGTGGCGTTAAGTGATTTGCTTATGGCCATTCAGGGACCTCCTAGGTCAAGTAAATTTGTCAGTTTTATGAGTTCTTATCAAATCCCAGCATACTGTTTTGTTTTAGTTCAGTACAAATTAAAAGAAGAGGTGAGAAAATAGTACTGCCTGACAACATGGCAATATGTTTTCAAGAGTCACATACTTCTCTTTTATATATGCATGTCATTTGTGTTGCAGAGACAAAGCAAAGAAAACCAGACAGCTGGTCTTTGAAATTCCCTACTCAATTATTACCATCAAATAGAATTTAGGATCCGTCTATGTTACACTATTTTAACCTTATTCTGCTACTTCAATAAATAAAGCCAAGCTGTCACCTTGGACGGTGGCAAGCAAAGCTGTTGCTAGCAGGAGAAGAAAATATTTTCTGAAGGTTGAGTATGTCCATAAGTTGGACTTTACCCCATAAAGGACTGTGCCAAGTCTGGAGCCAACATCAACCAAGACCTTTCCCAACAGATCAGGGAGCACGTGATGATAAATGAACTTCAATTCCACGAGGGAGAAGGAATGAGAAATAAAGCCTGGAAAATTAGAACAGAGTGAACATTAAGTTGTGCTTGGCTATTAACAGCTGCATTCTGTGCTTCTAATTCTTTCATCTATATTTATAAAGTATATTTCATGTTTCTTCTTAATCTATGAAAACCATCTAGTTTACTGAGGAAAAAAAGTGACAAATTTATATTCTTCTATTCTGAGCTATATTAGAGAAAAACAAATATTAAGTCTCTGACACTTCATAGGCCCCGTAGGGCCCTGCTAACTCAGACGACTGTCCCTCATTTCCTTCTTGCTGTTGCTTGGGATGGCCTGGGTCTTTCCTTCCTCTTCTCCCTGTGGCCTGCTGCTGCCTGGGATGGCTCCCTAACTTCCACATCATCGGGGTCTCTCACCTTACCCTAGAGCCACACATTGCTATACAGACTGTGAACAATCAAACAAATTACCGTCTCTGGAGGTGTGTGATGTCCAAGCCCTGACCAATCTAAAATGTGTGTCTGGAGTGGAGGAGAGGTATGCAGGAAGAGTAAGATATTCCCATAAATTGCCCTTATTTCCCTTCATTTATATGCCACCATTTCTAGTCTCCTAGTCTATTTTCTCATTGCAGTTTTGGTAATGAAGTACCTAGGATATCCTGAATCTGGCTTTATTTTGATGTGAAAGGCACTCAAAGACTCAATATATTATGTTCTACAGAATATAATGGTCAAGGAGGAGAGAGATTTGATTCAGAAGCAATAGATGGTGGCAAAGAAAATGGAAGCAGGTAGGCCAATTCCTTGGGACAGAATAAAGGACGTGATCTATAGGCCTCTGAAGTAACTCTTGGGGTGGGATCTGATGACCACAGTCCTTATCTCCCCATGATCTGCATCCTCCATACCCTCTTTGTCACACTGGTGCTTCTGTGGGCTACAAAGTCATCAGGGTCTTGTAGCTAGACAAACCCCTTGTCATCTGAGTATGTGTCAGAGAGTCCCTCATGATGATAGCTATTTTAGATTCATTACCATTGACTGAATTGCTCTGTGTATCTAGTCATTATTTATAAGCTGACTCTTTTAGGAAAATATTATCTTCAAATTTTTATTTGTCATATACAGCTCTTATACAAATTTCTATATATCAGATCTATTTGATACAGTATTATAGTTATAATTCACTTTTTAGTTTGTCCTCTCTAGTTCTTGTCCAAGCTTTTTTTGTTTTTTTTTTTTTTGAGACAGAGTCTTGCTCTGTAGTTCAGGCTGGCCTCAAAGTCACTATGTAGCCCAGGCTGTCCTTGAACTCGTGACAATCCTCCTGCATCAGCCTCCCGAATGCTGGGATTACAGGCACGCAGTACCACGCCTGGCTTATCCAAGTTCTTTTCATCTGTGAATTTCAACTACTTCCAAGGGAAATTATAAGTATTATTATTTTTTTGTGTGTGTGGAACCAGGGATCGAACTCAGGTCCTAACCCTTGCCAGGCAGATGTGGCACCACTGAGCTACATCCCCAGCCCTATTATTAGTATTATCTAGAAATAGAATCTTAAACCAATAAATCAGATAAATTTAATCCCAAATTATACTATAGGTACAATATATTTGTATCAACAACAAATCAAGATTCAGTAGGGATTAATCTTTGAGGCTATTATCTAAAATCAGTAACATGATCATGAGATTACTTAGCTGGAAAGGTAGCCCACTCTAAGCAACAACTCCAAGTCTAGGTGAGCAGGGAAAGGCACTGTATGTCCAAAGCAACAGCCTAGGCAATCACATCCAGTTTGAATGAAGACTATACTAATAGAAGAGGTAACCTATTAGCAGCATGGAGTCAGTCTAGCTCTTATTCGGGACAAAAGAGCTACAGCCAAGGGGCAGAGATGTCAGAGACTTTGTCACTAGAGCTATTCTGTTATAGCTCAGGGACACTTCATTGGGTCAAAACACTGGCCAGAATAAACTTCCTCAGAATTATCTGTCTCTGACCTCCGGAGTCCATGTCCACTCAATAATATCTGCTCACTCTCTGACTTCTCAAGCAGATGTTTTATAGAGAGGCTATTTCAGTCCCCTAGGAAGTTATATTTCTCACTGTAAATAAATTGGCACATGGTTTATATATCACTCTGTTGAGTAAGTAGAGTTCCTCTGTATTCAGTCATTTTTGGTTAGTTTCTGTGCTTGAAGAGTCACCTTTGATTTAACAGTTTCTAGATGTGTCCTGGGGGACATGAAGTGGCCTAGCTTCCCTATATTATTTTTCCTAACTGCAGTATGTGGTAATGGCCATACCACAGGATGACTTTTTGCTTTTAAAAAAAACCTGCACTGGCTTGGTCAAAAAATTGCACATTCGGGAGGCAGAGGCAGGAGGATCGCACAAGTTTGAGGCCACCCTGGGCTACAAGGTGAGTTCAGGGCTAGTCTGAACACAAAGCGAGACCTTGTCTCAAAAATAAATAAATAAATAAATAAAATTTGCATATTCATGACACGTAAGAAAAAAGCACACATAAACTCATTAGTCACTTGAGTGCATACCTAAAGGTGCTGTCTGGTGCGAGCCACACACTGTACAGTAGTTTCTGCTCATTCTTCCTTCCTCACACAATGAATCAATAAAGTCTTCATCGTAAAGGAATGCATCAATGTGAACTGTGGGTTCTGGCTGCTGCTGTATCTGGAGGAGAGAGGAAAACATCAGAAGAAACAAAGTACAAAGAACTCTTTTTATTGCTAAATAAGGCAAAACATCAGTGGTTCATATGCTAAAATTCTGAGAGCAACATGTCACAGAAGACAAGTTTTGCTTATTCAAGTCAGTAGCTGCTCTTCTTTCATTTATTAGATACCAGTAACTTTTATTTGATGCAGAATGATGCGAAACATGGCTATAAGAAATATACAAAATTTTTGGCTGAAAGGAATTTTAGAGATTATTCTTGTCTATCCTCAATGGTATGTTTTATAGTCAAATACTGGGATTATAGGCATGTGTCACCACACCTGGCTTACAAACATTTCTCTGAATTTTTGTACTATCTTATATTTTCTTCCTTTGGGAACCCATTGAATGACTAGATATTTACTAAGATTTGCTAATTGTTCATGATGTGCATACATCAGTAAGTCTTTCTTTTTGTTTTTGTTTTGCTTTTTTGGTACCGGGGATCAAACTCGGGTCCTTGCACTTGCGCAGCAGGAAGCGAAACCACTGAGCTAAATCCCCGGCCCTGAAGGGCATGTGTGTAAATCTTTCTTTTTGTTTTTGTTTTGCATACATCAGTAAGAATGTACAGGATTTAGTACCTCTGCTCAGGTATTTATAGGCTGAAAAAAACGGCTGTTTTCAGATTCGTGGGTAAAGAAGATATTAATACTAGCTTTGCTTTAAAAAACAACATTCATAGTACATGATCTCCATATAGGTTGAGAGTTGAAGGAACTTGAGTAAGCGGATTGTTGGGAGAAGAAAAACCAGAACTATATTCTAGAAATAGAAATAGAAGAATAAACCAAAAAATGTGAATGCAAAAGTAGAAGGAAACAGAAAGGTGAACCCTACCTGTGACAAGAGTGAGGGAATGGAACAAGAGAAAATCAAGACATTGCAAAGCCAGACTGTTGGCCCCTGTTGGTCTTGATCATTTTAAAATTTTTGAGTGGCTGGTAAATGGGATGTCCTCAAAAGATAGATGCATAAATAGCACGGGGAAGGTAGGGAGTTGAAGATTCAAAAGAATTAGGGACACATTTAAAGCACTAAAAAATTGTTTAAAGTTAAATGTAGGACTAATTAGATTGACGAGGCCTTGGGGTTAGGGAATAATAAAATCCTTAAGTAGCAGTAAGAGTAAATTAATGATTTAATGTATTTACTTTTTGAAGAGCTACAGGTTCTGAGGCAAGCATGGTTTCTAGAGGTAAGCAATTCCGAAGGTCATCTGCTATGTTTTTCAATATAACTTCATTATTATCTTGTGTGAATTCATCAAAATCCCCTGGGGGAGAAAAAAAAGGAAACAGTTCTTAAAGTTGTAGTCATACCTAGATTAAATGATTAAAATGGATACGGTCCCATTAGACAGCATCAATGTGTAATAAATAAAACTTCTAAACACTGACAGATTCAAATTCTAACACAAGTTTCATTAAAAATGAATCTTTCCTTTCCCCAAACTGCCATTCCAATGAAAAGCAAAGGCATTTAAAAATATATAGATAGTATTTTAACTACTTTATTTTTTTATGAATAACATTTCTATTAGTTTTTAGGGTCTCAAATACACTAATAAGTAATCAAATTTAGGAGGCATTGCTCAGGATTACAAAGAAGATAACCTTAATCTGAATACCCCTGATGCCAATAAAATATTCTCAAGACTTCAGATCAAAGACACTAACATCTGGTACCAACTATACACTAAACTTTATAACAAGCATATTGTTCTGCTGCACTACAGCAGAAGACAAAGTGATAATTCAAACAGTATTTTGGAGTCTGTGACCTGTCTTTGGATGATCTGGTAAAAGAGAGCAATGTGTGGGGAACAACATAGATGGCACTGTAAGAGAGTAACAGTGGGTGAATCTAGGGGAGGGTATAAAATGGTGCTCATTGTTCTTTTGCCTTAACTTTGCTGTGGATTAATGTAATTTCCAAGCAGTTCATATACAATTTAAACTAGAATGTGACTTATCTGGAAAGAAAATACTCCCGAAGTCTGCTACTCTCTAGGACGCCAAATATAGACTAGAAAGAACAACTCATAAATGGTGGGCTAGAAAACAAAGTATTTTATCTTTCTCTTATTTGTTTATTTGGAGATAGGTTCTAGCTCTGCAGTTCAGGCTAGCCTCCCACTCCTGCCTCAGCTGGGGTTACAGAGGTGTGCCCCTACACCCGGCCTTTAAAATACTATCTTATGTTAAATGCTTGCTTGTGTAAAAGGACCTTAGTGAGATTGTGTCTGTGTCAAAAACAGTTGTAGGGGATGAGGGTATGGCTCAGTGGAAGCCTTGGGTTCCATCCTCAGCATGACCACCATCACCACCACCAAAAAGAAAGGGAAGAAAAATTGCTATAATAGCTGTAGAAGGAAAAGGACATCTTGAAGGAAATGTTATTCCCTAAAGCTTTGGTTGTTTTAAGTAAGCTAATGATTTGGAAAACATTTTAAAACTAGTACATTAAAAACAAAAGTTATATACATTTATGGGGTAACGTGTGATGTTTCTGACACATGGTCAGATTGTGTAATGTTGAAATCAAGTTAAAAATATCTATCCTCACATACTTATAATTATTAATTTATAATTTTTATGGTGAAAATATTAAAAACCCTTCCCTCTAGCATTTTGAAATATATACAACTACATTATCATCTATAGTCACTCTACTGTACAAGAGCATGTTATGATCCTCTTTTTTGTTTTGTTTTGTTTTGGTTTGGTTTTTTCAGACAGGGTCTTGTTGTATAGTTCAGGCTGGCCTTGAACTCACTATGTAGCCCACGCTGGCTTCGAACTCATGGGTATCCTCCTGCCTCAGCCTCAAGTGCTGGGATCACAGGCATGTGCCACCACAGCTGGCATGTCATGATCTTCTTCAACATAAATAATACTTATTTGTTCAGGATGACATTTTCATGTCACAACAAATTAAAAATTGGATAAATTTTTATATCCTACAAAGTTCTTACAAACTACCCCATTTAACTATTATAACACTCATGTGAGGAAGACAAAGTGAGACTACATTTACAGATTAGGAAACCAAGTCTTTCAAGGTTAAATGAATTGCCAAAAGTTACAAAGTAGATCACCAGCTGCATAAGGACATAAGCCTAGGTTGCTGACCATGTGAAAACTTTCAATATACCACTCTGTGTCTCCTACATACAAACATTCTTTCTCTGCATAACTTCTTTTTGAGCAATATTAGTTAATATCAAAATATTTTATTTGGCGGTCTGAACTAGCGAGGGAAGGACCTTTAGTTCTTTTCTTTCCTCAAATATTTAGTACAATATTCTAAGCTACTGCTTCAAATGATTTCTAGGAGCCAGAATATATAAAGAAAAAAAGTAAGATTAAGATGTATTCCAAATTATTTTACATAGGACTTAAATAGCATCTTTGATGCATTTCCCCTACACTCGTTTTTTAAAGTTCTATTCCTAAAATACGATTAAATTTTTCCAATGTGCTAATTAATACCTAACATCTGCTTAGTTTCCCTCCATAGATAGAACACTATATTAGAGCTTTTGACTCAACTTTAATTCTTATATCACAACAGTAATTTTTGTAAATGGTTAACTAAAGAGGTTAATAAAAATTTTATTGAACTGAAATATGTCATGGCTTAGCTTCTTTGGGTTTAATTCTGCAACATAAACAACCATGCTTAATAAAATAAAGTTTTCATAGTGTGTGTCTGACACAGTCCAAGAGTATTAGGGTGGAAGGGGACTTACACTCTGACCTCTCACCAAATAGCAGAATGCCATGTACATAACTGATACTGACTTACAGCTGTTCAGTCTTTAACTCATTCAAGGACAGACAGCATTTCTTCTGCAGACCAAGCCAGAATTTGCCCCTCGGTAACATTAGCTCAGTGTTTTCACTTTCAGCTGGAAGATATCATTATCTTGAATATTGTACCTTTACCGAATGAGCACTTAAGGCATACTAGACTTGGTGGAGTGCTTTTCAAATATTAACTTCTAAGAACCCTACAGGTGGTACTATTACCAATTCTTTTTTTTTTTTTTTTTTTTGGTACCAGGGATCAAACTCCGGTCCTTGCGCTTGTGCAGCAGGCAGCGAAACCACTAAGCTAAATCCTTGGCCTTATTACCAATTCTTTAACAAAAAAATCTGAGATCATACTGGCCAGAAGTTGGTAGAGGTAGGATTTGAAAACAGGTCTAAGTCTTAACTGAAGTATGACACCATATGGCCTCCCTAAAGTGTGAACAAAGCAGCTGGTAATAGTTCTATCACTAACTTGGTCTTAGCATAGAGCTAAGCCCTGTGCATGGTTCCCGTGAGCGGTAGCCAGATCCTTTGCCTTCTGCTTGCTATCTTCTTGACTTGCTCAACAGCCCTCTAAATGTGGCCCTGGACTGAGCACAGTTCGGCAACCTAGAGCTTCTAGCCCATGATTACGTTAGCTTATTTTCTTCTATCACTCTGTAGCACCCTTGGGCTCCAGTTGGTACTGCTACTGGGTTACTAATAGAGTTAAAGGATGGTGGTGGTGGTTGAGGTCCAAATGTCTTGAACGATCATATGTAAAAATCCAGGGAGCTGGAGAAATGAGAGATGCTTGCAAATCCTGAACCATAACTATGATTTCCCACCAACTTTCTGGTTACATATATTTACCTGGGAGTCAATCTTCCAGTTAATTTGAGAATCACCAGTCAAGATGAAAGATGCTACAAAATTACATATTAAATTATTATTATTATTATTATTATTTTTCGGTACTGGAGATCAAACTCAGGACCTTGCGGTTGTGAGGCAGGCAGCAGAACCAGAGCTAAATCCCCGGCCCCTCCATATTAAATTATTAAGCCATCACTTATTTGTTGATAATAGAAGACTGGTTTTTTAGGGGTGGTGGTGGTGCTGGGGCTCGCCAGCTCTACCACTGAGCTACAGCCCCAGGCTCAAAACTGCATTTATTTCACCTCAATACCAAGGATATCAAGTAAAAATGAGAATTGTCACTCTTCACATGGATGATAAACTCCGATTTAACCACATTCAAAAGTAGAGATTTTTTTTTTGATAGGTTCACATTATTTCTCCATTGACATATTTACAGAACATAAAGTAAATGCTGCTTGCACATGAAAGCTAGGTGTTCAGTCAAAGAGCTAAGACCTCCAGCTGGCTTACACATGATCTTAGCCAAAAGGCTGAGAAGCGATCCAGCTGGCTTACAAATGAAACATCCACCTCTTGGCCTAGATTTTGGATCCAGACTGGCCTTGAACTTGCAATGATCCTCCTGTCTCAGCCTCCTGAGTGCTGGGATTACAGGTGTGTGCCACCACGCCCCGGGTCCTAGTTTTGGAATTTTCCAGCTTTCAGCTCATCAATAATTTCTTCAATATCATTAGGTGTCAGATCCTCGTAGTAGCTGCCATTCATTTGAACCATCAGTGTGTTTACACAGACCTCTAAATATTCTACCTGTGTGAAGTGAAAAGTTGGTAAAGCCTAGCCTGCTAGCCTTTATTTCAAGCCTTTTCTCAAGGTGTAGTGGTGCAGAGTTGACATGGTATGTACTTTTGACTGTACATTGTATAAGAAGTTGCTACTTCATGTACTTACTCTCATTGGAGGTGCTTATAAAATCCTACAACTCTGCTCATAGCAGAGGTGGGCAGACAGACACCCATTCTGCCTGTGGGCTGAGTCCAGGACTGGAAGCACAGCCCTGCTTTACACCCTGTGTAGTGTTTTACAATCACCTCTACCCTCTGACCATGCGCTGGTGTGAGATCAAGTGGAGCATCTGGATTATTCTCGGGAGTGTCTCTGTGCACAAATAAAGCTCCTCCAGCACCATCTGCACAGCTGTCTAATCAAATTCCTACTTGTGGGCTGGAGATTTAGCTCAGTGGTTCCGAGGCGCAAGGACCGAGTTCCATCCCTGATACAAAAAAAAAAAAACCCCACCAAATTCTTATTTGTTTTCCCCAAGGCTGAGGCTGGTTGCCTGGGCCCACAGTGCCAAGGGAAATTCCTTTAGTTACTGCAGGATCCTTCACCCTGCTTCCAGTCAAGAGGATCCAAACACGGGCTTTCTGTGGTCAGAAAGGGACCTGAAATTTTACATTGGGCATGTACATATATGTACATTTTTCTAGGGAGAAACGTCTTAAGAGCTAAGATTTATTGAATACTATATGTAAGATACTATGCCACATGCTCCACACGCCTTTACTTTTAATCTCCAAAACATCTGTATGAGGTAATA